AGCAGCAATGGGATCAGGACTGGCTCGCAATTTAGTCGGGACCTCAGTTTTCGTTGGCTTTGTTCGCGCAGTGTATGAAACATCACTTTGTTTGTCGAGTGATGCTAGGACTTGTGGGTGCCATAATTAGGTGAAATATACAGATGTGGAGGCTAGATGAAGTAGCTGGGGAAGGTGTATGGAAGTAAACGGCTCCATCAAGGACTTACGAGCTTGAGCTGCAGAAAACTGTCAATGCAAAAATAAGCGAATGCGATACAAACAACCAGTTTTTAGTTTTGCGCTATCCGTTCAGTAGAAGTTGGTTCCGGCTGATGTTAGTTCAAATACATCCAGACAGTTGCACTTGTCGAGGTTGGTCTATGATGCCAGCTCCGCCTGAGGTCACGTGACTGCTCCACACAGGTTAGATTACTGTAGGCAGAGAATATTCACCAACTTTGCACAGATGGCAAAATACACCAAAGAAAAATATTGGTGCATAATTCACACAGAAAGAACACGTGTTATACAGTAATCCGGAAGCAAAAGTGAAATTCAACACTTCAATTCATACGGCCGATACTACTACCGTGGCCGACTGACATAGTTACTTAATGCCCTTCTTGACTTTACCTACTTACTTTAGGCTGCTGAGACATGTGTATTAAGTTTACTTTGGTGCACTTTTATTACCATCTGTAGCCGCATTTAGTCATCGAGCTTGACCGTTCAAACACCTTATCAACCAATCCCAGCCCGATTTGACGCTTACCACAGACAATCAGTGTTATGTAAACGTTTGGGTCTGAAGAGAGTTTACCGAAAAGAATGATTAACCCTGAACTAATTTCTGGTCTTGATTCATCTGAATGCAATGGGAATATTTGCTTTGCTGAAAATAACCATTGCCCGTGATTCGTTGAAAATTCAGCAATTCGCGGCGTCCGTGGGTACAGCTGCATACTTACTGCTACGCATTGAAATCAGTTGTAGGCTATTAAACCTGTTTGTTTAGACCTAATTGTAAGGTGGTTCCTAATTGATTGTAATAAGATCTAGATGTTCACTTGAATACTCAGTCAAACGCATGTTTACTCAGCTTTTGGAATATGCTCATAGATGTAAGCATTAAATTAAGTGAAGAAATTTCTTCACGACAATTCCAATCAGGCTACTACATAAATACAACTGGCTAAAACATTGCAATAGGCTTCTTGCAATATTTTAAACAGTTTTATTTATGTATTAGCCTGATGAGAATAATCAAAAATAAATTTTCCCCACTAGTTCCTAACGCACTCATCTTGAGACGAAGGGTTAACTATCTCGGTGGCTTTTGTAGGACTAGGTAATACTAGTCCGATACGCGAAATTAAGCGCGGATAGCAGAAGGCAATTGTAGTCGGACACAGAGGACTGTATTCGATGGGCTACAAGAAGACGCGGACGGATGAAGCGAGAGAAGAACGCACGTGAGCGCGGGAAGTTACAAGGCGGTCGAGTGTCGAGCCGGTTGTAAAGAAGATTAAAACAAGAAGGAATAATGCACAACCGGTCAACAATTAAATTGTACATGAAAGATAGCAGTTATCTTTTTGAGCGCTACACTTTTTGTCCAAACCTCCTATCAATAATTGGATTGTCTACCAACACCTCACTGTTTTAATATACAATGCATGTTGTAGTAGAATACTGGAAAGTTTCGTTCCATTTGGTACTATAGGAGCTGCCATCCGACATTGTAGACTACGGCATAATATGCTTAGGGAAATCGTATTCCTATATTATGTTATGACAAATGTTGTGACTTATCACTCGGTGTAATGTTGGGCGTGCATATTCGCCCATAACCTTGGTATCGTATCATCTAGTACAGCTCACCGCAGTATACGATAACAACGTAGATAAATAGCGCAGAATGCAGGGCAACGGCTGTTTTGCAACTTAAACGCATGCCAAACACCACTTTTGACGCACGCACACATACTCAAAACGTAGTGTTGTCTTGAAGTCCCTTCATTTTCTTGCCATTCTGAAGTATTTTGTCTTCCTTCGATACACTCGCCTCCAACGCACAAACTTGATCCCAGCGTCAATCGAAATGTGCACATTCCACTCTTTCCACCGATGTGCATCAAATGAAAATGGAAACCGCATAAAGCTGCCTGACGTTTTTGATCGTCACTACCAAACAATTTTCAGTTCGTGCGTCATAATGTATGAATTGGTAACAGATTTCATTTGCTTGATAAACAAGATTGGTGGGAAAGGTTGTTTTCAGCAGGTAGCCGTCCTTCTGCTTTGTTTATATCCGGCCCAACCTGCGTCATTACAGCACCGGAGCTGTCACATGTTATCGGCTGATTTTAATTTGCTTCGCGAATCGCACGTAGTGTGTCGGTGTATTGTATACATCCGCACAGCTAGTTTCTTAAGGAAAATAGCATTGAATCAGCGTGACAGAGTGATCTTTTCAGTAGCACAACAGTCAGCTACACCGTGCTTTACGGAATTGTGTTAGCCGATAGAGCCTGATGTAGACCAAATAGTCTTCGAAGTTGTCCCGTATGTCTTCTGAAACTTATTGGGTTTGAAGTTAATGAATTCTGGAACTGCCTATTTAAGTAATTTTCCGATGAGATGATCGGTTGCGTCGCTCTCAGAGTGTTTGCAGTACTCAACTTAACGCAATGCCTAATGTTAAATGGATGAAGGTAACTGCAAAAATAAGTCTGTCACTACTGTGAATCCATCCAGCTATATAACAATTACCGGATTGGTGTCATAATTTATTGAGTACAGCAAATTATTTGTAGTGTACATATGCTGTCTTTCATTGTCGCTGTTGGAATTGGTTGCTCGGTTCGTTCGTCACAGTCCACGCACCAAATTCCCCAGGCCTCTTACCGTATGGGACATTAATAAAATTTTGTTCTCCCGGTATGGCTGCACCTTATCGATGCAAATCTGGGCCAAAATCGCACCGGCGGTCCAAGTCGGGCTGGTGCAGCTGAATGGTAATCAATAAGCCCAATTTTAAGCATACTTGTCAGGGTACCCTGCACACTAAACGTTTGATTTGTTGTTCTAAAGGTGCTGGATTTCGGTAGAATCGACTTGCTTTTCAAAACGGAATCAACTGACTACGTTACTAGAATTGGTTATAGCACAGGAGGCTGGAGTTTCATGAGATAGGTGAGTCTGCTGGACTACGAATGTTCAAGAAGTAAAACCGACAGGTGAAAAGAGTAAAACCAAAAAGTAAAGGAATAGAAAAGGATCGTGTCAGTGAACTCACCGTATGGTTCATATGTGCACACACTTCGGTTGCGTTTATCTGCGTCACAGTAGCTCGGGCTAATTCATGTTAGGCAGATGGAGTATTGGCTCAGTAAGTCACTTTTGTATTCGGACAATGCAGTATCGGAAATAACAGGTCGAAAGATCGTTCCACCATCTGACCTGATGGTATTCTAAGCTGCTAATAAATGCGGCAAATTTTACTTAGTGATCTCTCATGTTTTATACCTATGTTTATATAACTGGTGGCATGCATGGAGTTCTGCATGATCTGACTCAACTGAACTATTGCCCCAAAGTCGACGACATGGTCGTTTGACAATTTCTAGCGAGATGGAAAAAGCCATCAAGACTTTTGGCTTGGCTTTGTTGCGGAGTCCTAGGAACAGCGAGTTCACGCGTTTGCTAGGCCTGTCGAACCTGTACGGTGTATTTCACCTGTGTCTCACATCAGTGCTGAAAATTGGCGAAAAGACAGCAGCATCAAGCCGCAAGAGGCCCAAGTGTTTACTGGCTTTACGCGCTACATTTTCGGCCTGTCTTCATGGAAAGTACGCTGTAAAAATGCCCCCTAACCGATACGCGACGTATTTCTGCTGCTATAGGCTCAGTACTTTACTGATTGTCACGTTAAAACGTAGCATGTTTTGAATTGACCCTACCAAGGTCGTCTTGCATTGCCATCTGATCATCTGCTGCGTTGATAGCCCGCAGCATCTTGAGATCACTGTCAACGAGCGAAACATGTGAAATGGCCATCCCCGCTATATCGTTTAGGAACACCAGTAATAGCCGTGGCCATACTGCTGAGTCTCGTGAACACTCACAATGCACTTCTGTAGGGTCAGCCAAGGAGCTACGAACTCCCATAACTAGCCGACGCTGGGGGAAGATAGGAGAAGAAGGAGGAGGATGGGCTCGTCGATTTCAAGCCTCCTGAGAAGTTGTAGGTAAGGTAGTGACCCGAACAATAAAAACACTACCATAAAACCGGACAGATCACGCCAACCTATTCCTCAGCTTCGATAGATTCAGTCCAGGTACTACGATCCTTAAGTTCAAGTAAGTCAATTCTAGTGGTCTCGGTGGCTGTACTGTCAGCCCCTTTATTCAGGAGCATCATCAGTGTCACAGCTCACAGTGTGACATATCATGGATGGTTAAACAGGGCACTCCTAAGAGCTGTTCAGTTAGTGGAACAACCTCGCATTCATGTAACACAGAGCAATCCCTTACTGGCTCAGTCAAGTCTCCATCCGAATTAGTGGTCTGGAATGCGACAACTTCCCCTATTGTTTCAGGGTTGCTTTCCCAATTCTGTGGTCCTAGAGCTATCCAATGATCACGGTGAAGTCTTGTATAAGACACTGACTCATGGAAAAACATACTGCCATGGACACTTAGGGCGAACGATCAAATTATTGACATCAAATGTCGCGTAATTTAGCACGCTTCTTATCTTAATGCGTCTAAATTGCCCACCCTTCGACTGATGTACATTAATCATGTGGAACATGTCTATGATATCGAATGCAGCGATAAAATTGATGTAACCTAGACGTGATAGCACTGCATGCGCAACAGTGTCTATCTCATCTGACATTTTTAACTAACGAAATAAGGCTATTGATTTGCAATAGCCTTGCATGCGTACTCTGGATTTTCCAACTCACTTCGATCTGCCTCCTCCCTTTGTTCCATGGTGTATGTCAACGAAGTTGGTGGACCCAACTCGGATGGTCAACCTCCCAGCAAGTTTGATGACAGTCCGGATGGCGCTCACGCCCCATGGTCCATGTGCAATCAAATTCGCAAGTACATGTCTTACGAAGAATGCGGTACACCACGTTGTCAAAGCTCAACGTTGCGAGAGCACTACCACTGTCGTAATTGCAACAAGGTTTGTGATAAACCATCACACAATTGCACAACTTTTGCCGCTTTGAGCTAAACGAACTAGTTAACTTGGCAGGCCTTGCTATCATGTCCATTCTCTATTTTTGGGGGAAAATTCATGTGCATAGCGAGGGTTGCGGAATTTTCCTGAATGCTTGTGTTTGTCCAGTTCTTCCCTTCTTTTCTCCTCACCATTGATTTTACTTTGCCCCATCTACCGAGAACATACCATTCAGATGCTTAGAAATAAGTAGTGTGAAGTTGGTGATGTTCCGCTTATTCTCTCAGATAATTATCCGTCGTGAAGAGATGATCAGACATGCCAAATGGCATCGCAAACGAGAAGAAAGCTTGCAATATGGTTTCATGCGGTATAGCCCAGCGGATAACTGTGCCGTTTACAATTGTGTCCACAACGGTCGTCAGACACACTATCACTGCATGAAGGCGAACTGTACAAAAGTAAGTGTACTCAGACTGTTTTTAAGTGCTCGTCCCTCACTAATGTGCGACTTGAGACGGTTTTCTCTGTGCGTCTAGGCAGATAAATACTAAATACCTGTAATTTATTGATTTCAGATGCACAAATCCATTAGATATTCGACAAAAGTAGGCTCCGTAAGTTCAGTAAATTAACTTTGCAGGTTACCTTTACTCAGTCGCAGTGGCACGTGTTAACAAACTCAAGCAGCACCCAAGAGCGAGGACATTTTTATATCTCAGAAATGAGTTCGCTAGTGCCGCGCGGCAATCGCTCTGGTGTTTCGGTCGCTCAGTATGCGAAATAACGGTAATCTCTCAGCTAAGGAATCGCCCTACTTGGTTTTCCTTAACGATTTAATACATTTCGGTCCCAAGGGAATTTACATAGCAAACTTCATTGAACTAGCCTGAATCACATTAACTTGGCAGATGCACTTTGTAGTAGCTGTTTTTAACTGGCACTAGGTCAGCCGGAATGAGGCTAACTATTTTGCGAAACCTCGCGTGGTCGTAATAGCTAGATAAGTATACCTCATTCCGACTAATGCCACACAATATGAGCACGTAACTCACTTGACTCCATCTTGACGAGCGAGCAGGTGTAACTGTTTAGGTCCAATAGTTCAGTAGTGTATGATGGAATAAAAAGCATAACTTTACAAGACCCACAGCATGGATATGTAAAAGAGAATTAAGATCAAAATGTTCCAACGTGGAACAAGAAGTATCAGTGGTTATACTATTGCACTTGATCAAACGGTTTTATAGCGTTTATCACTAAGATGAAAGTCTGTCTTTCGAATGTCGTCATGTCTAGTGCGTTCACCACATATCTTGGTAATTCATTCCAACGAGAACAGATTCTGAGTAAAAATACTTTCTACAATTCAGACGGAAGTGTTGCATCATTAGTTTCAGGCGGTTGCCTCGGCTTTTTTGTAAGGGGCTAGGGTCAACAGTGATGTACACGGATGCTCGTTTTCAGTTAGTATCCGGGATGTGAGAGTAAGATCTCCGCGAAATCATCGGTATTCTAATGAGAACACACCGTGTACACGAAGACGCGGTTCGTAACTTAGACCGGATAGTCCACACATTGCCTTTGTGGCTCTTCTTTGGGGTTGTTCCAATAGGCGAATGTCTCCTTTTAACCATGGACATCAGGCCTGAATTGTGTATTCAACGTGAGGGCGAATATAGAGGTTAATCAGCATTGGTACTAACCGTCGCTCAAAGGTGCCGAGAGCTCACGTCAACAGTCTCAAGTTCAAGTTCATCACACTTGCTGCTTTCGAACATTGGAGCGAAGTGCCAAGACTCTCTTGCACGAGTATACCTAGGTCATGTTCACTAGTCACGTGTTGCCCCAAAAGTTATGTGTTGACGAAGCTGCTGCGCACCGTCAGCAGGTGGCACTTTGCAGGTTTCAGTGGGATCTGGTTCCTTTCTGCCCATTCGTTAATCTGAGTCAGATGTTCCTGGAGGTAGACACAGTCGGATGCTGAGCGAATTGCTCTCCATATTTTAGCATACTCTGTAAATATTTGCATCGGAGATAGCATGTCTGCTAGAAGCTCAGTAATGTAGACTAAAAACTAGCGGACCGAGGACGGATCCTTATGGTACACCACTGGAGATGCACAGGCTTGCAGAGTGAGCAATGGAAGAAACATTCACCGAGAGTTCGGTCAGTTGGTGTAGCTGCCTGCACAAGATCTTCTAGTGAAGTCAACGAATGACGAACTTTAATTGAAGTTAGACGGGACCGGTGATCTACGCAGTGTCACTGCGTAGTAGATCGCTTCACGGGCACCCACTGCTATTGTCATCACTGACTACATGGCACAACTCGTGTCTTGTAGCTTCAGCGCGTTCGCAATAATGAGTTATGTGTTAGATGAGCGAACTAGTTGGTTAACTCAATACGATCGCCCGTTGCTAACCTAAGACAGATTTATGATACTTACCTTATCCGAGGCTGAATATGATCGAGGAAGTCACCGACTAACGAATTGCAGTGGTCGTCTTCTCACAGACTTGTTCAAGTTTGGATTAGAAGTTGTTAATCGGTCTCGCTCCCCAGGTCGGGTCCAGGAGACCCATTCTGCGGGTCACATAACCGGGTTATGGGAACTAGATGGCATCTCATCTTTACCCACTACCATTGTCTCCTAGTCTGCACACCTGCATAAAAGTGTAGGTAGCACTGCGGAATATTTGGACTTTGGCTGATTTTAATTTGTTGTCGTTCAAGCCCCAAGGGATGTCACCTCATCGTTACAGTGTTATCCCATCAGAGTAGACAGCTGTTGTAGATTTAAAGTTTTCATGAGGTCTCTGGCAAGAATGTCTACCTAGCACATCGTATCCCAAACCTAGCTCTCCAAGACTTTTCCGTATTCTTTATCACCGAAAACACTGTTTTAGTTCACACTTTTATGGTAGCACAACATTGGAAATCTGCACTGCTATACTGCTGGTCCGACTGGTGCGTGCCAAGGGACATTCCACACCAGTGCACTATCACACTTCATGCAGTCAATGGCATCCCTGTATCCAGTTTCCGTTAATTCTGCTAATTCTCATTCCACCTTGATTCGTTTAACGCGCCTCCTTGATTCCATTTTCTCCTCGTGATCGAATAATCACTGTTCACTCCAATGGGAATCACAGTCAACATTGAGATTGCGTGCCACAATCCATCCGCACAACGTGTACATCAAACTGACCACAATAGCCATCCTTAACCGTTGTACCAAGGGTTGCCCGTCTTGACCCGGTGGCTTAGGAGTAGCGGTCACAACTAACACCCCAATGATCCTTGGTTCGATGTGTGCCATCTCCATCTAATGAGAGTAAACAAGTCCGAAACGCGTAATGTTGTGCAGTGTTTTCGAACGTGCAACACCCAATTTCCATCTGTTTCTCTACCTTATGTTTGCATTCCAACTCATTTTCTTACTGATGCTATTCATCCTGGTTCTGGCGACGTGAGTCCTGTCGACTAGATCCATGGTGCACGCATTAAAGTTGTTCGACTGAAGTGTAGTGTACTGTTATACAGCCGTTGAAAGGCAAATGCCCATGCCGGTTGTGGTCGTGTATTCAGGTTGGCTGATTGTCCAACAGGCGCTCTTTGCAAGTAGATACACAATTGTGTTGTGGTGTTTAAAGAAAGAACTAGCTATTATGAGCGGAGTGGGACGTGAGAAAGACCAGATTACTCCTAAACATAATGTCACTTACGGTACAGCAGACTGCTGTCGTAGTAAGGCTTTGATTTCTCGATGACAGCGAAGAGTCAGGGCAATATGCTTCCACAAGAGAAGGGCACAGAGATGCACCAATATTTGGGCGATGGCGATGGTAGCAGCGGAATCTAAGCATTCCGCCTGACATAACATATGTAGTCTACTTTTTCATGGACCGCATATCTTCGCCTTGAGATAGCGCAACGATTGCATCACCAATATACATGTGGCTCGGTAACCCTTAGCAGGACACGCATGATTGGTTTACGTCCGGATCACAACGGTTGTTACCTAAATGCTACACTTCGGTCCACTGAGCATCATGCCATCAACAGGACCCGACACCATTTTCCTACAGGAAAGCTGATTCGAATGAGGCGAACTGACCAAGGTTGAAATTCTTTTGGTGTTTGGAAAAGGTTCCCTTTATTTGAAGATGAGCCAAGCTAGTCCACTGGTCAGGTTGCAAGTTCTCAGTATGTACTTATTTTAAACTTCTGTGTTGATGTTAGCATGCTGCGAAGCCTGAAGAAATGAATCAGCCTGTAATACCTTAACACTTTGATGCCCTGTTAGAATTAAAACTCGACACGGTGCTATGGATGAGGCTCAGAGATAGTAGTTTGCACGACGTCGGTATGGCAGTCTACATATTGAAGTTGGAAAACGCGACGGGACGCTTGCGTTTCTTTAGGTCATTAATTATGCCCATTCAGATATTAGAAGCATAACACCTGCGAAGAGAACTCTTTTCGGCAATTCACTTCAGGCAAATACAATTACAAGTAGATAAACGTACAGGTAAGCGAACGCTGGGGATGTGATTGTTTGAACGAAGTCGATCAATAGTCCACTCAATATAGTCTACATGTATTGGACCCCGGTCTTTGCCAATTGGGATACCACTGACTGGTTCGGTTTTAATGTGAGCCTGCATCCAATACGAAAGAAGGTTTCACGTATACTAGTTCCGTGTTTCCAAGGTAAGCTGGAAACATCCAACACACGGTTTCCCGTCATCATTTAAATCGCCTGTCCTCCTTTCTCCATTGGATATGCCCCGTAGACACATAGTCGACCTTTCACTGTAAAGTTTTGTAAAGCATGTGCAACTTCGTCCAGACACGACGGCCTCATTACACAAGGCATCACCGACCTGGCAACCGAGTAGACCACGTGTGCGCGCACACACACACACATCGGTAACTCATTCATCCGTTCCTGTTGGCAACTGGCCAGCTGGCTTGGACACGCACGTACCCGCGTCAGTAACGACACATTTTCCAACTTTTCGCTCAAATTTGTGTCTAAAATGCCTATTCGTCATGGCTTAGTCATCGAGATTGCATCTTAACTTCTCTTGCATGACGTGCACGACGAATTACCTCACATGCATGCGCTTGTGTGCGCGTGTGTCCCACGTATGGCCACAGACAGCGATGAACTGCGAGCTCGACGGAGGCCAGAGGTCACCCGCTGCAAACCCGCCAGTACACAACTACTGTGAATTCGTCGAACGCTTAAAGGCACACATGTTTTGCCCGAAAACGCACACTTTCGCCTGTCTGGGTCAATCGTCTTCCTACAAAAACCGCCTAAATGAACCGCACACAAGCACAGCACACATTCATGGTTGAATTCAAATCACCGCCGATGTGTTGTCATGCGGTTGAACGAGTAAACAGTATATCTGGCTTAAAGTTGTTGAAATTCTTTGCCCGAACAACA